TATTTTGGTACTAAGCAACTATGCCCAAACTTGAAAAAACGTTTTACATTAAATATCGAAAGTCATTGTAAATATATGTAAATAGGAAAATGAGGTTCTAAACCATTGTTAGGGGGAGGTCCCACCAAGTTCAGATAAACCCGTATCAACAAAAGCTGGGAAATCCGCACAATAATCGCAATCCCAAAAAACCATCATTGAAGAAAAACACCCAAATGTATCCCCAAATCATCCATGTCACTAGACTATATTTCTGGATGAATATTGTTATTATCAGTAGCCTGAAATAAACCCATTTGAAGATGATTCCCCTACTCCTAGCCATAATCTCAATGTGTCATCCAAGTGGCGTTGTTATAATTCCTCCAAGTATATTGAATATCTATACTTATAACTTATATGTATATATATATATTAATCCAATTGCATTCCGTAAATACTCCCCATTCTACATCCCCATCATTTTGTTATTTTTCATTTGCCCTATCAGACCTATCGATTAAAAACATAACATCCAATCATCCAATGTTTCATCATGTCTCATAAATTGGCATACCCTAGGGCCCTAAGGTAAACTAACAGTTCGATGTGGAAAATCAAGTATGAATCTATATATAGATGATTTTCCTAACAAAACCACGGGTTTTCCAAATCTACGTTAGTTTACCCGAGGATTCTAGGGTAAATCCATACGTTTCCATTGAAACAACCCATGGTTCCCCACAGCCCCAAGATTTTCGGCTCCTGGATGGAGGCTTTGCGGATGGCATACTTCTCCTAGCCGGAGAAGTAAGAAGGGAAGGGACTAAAGCAGGACCAGGACAAACAAATAATCCCATGCAATAAGTATGATCCCAGAGAACAATGATTAATCTCACTATGATCCCGCTATAGTTGAAGAAACGGAGTGTAATCATGTTTTTAGGGAATCATAGCTGTTTCAATGGTGAAAATGCTATGGTTGATCATCATTTGTCCCATTTTTCAATATACGACCATGAATCGGGGATGGCTCCCTCGCTTTTTGAACAAAGCCGCATATCTACGGGAGCTTTGGACTTGCAGTGGCAGGAGATGTGGAGCAAGCTCAAGAGCAACATCTTGGTCTTCTCTTGGGAAGGTACCCTCTGGTTATTTAACATAGCCATGGAAAATGGCCCATTTATAGATGGTTTACCTATTAAAAATGGTGATTTTCCATGGCTATGTTAGTCATAACTAGAGGGTACCACATGAAGACTTCATTGGGGATGTTACACTCGAAGATCCATAGGGATTCCACATCTCCCCTCCCAAGCGGTCCCATCTGCGGTCTTCAGCTTCTTTGTTGCTGCCTGCCCGAGGGCAGCCCAACCCTTGAGCGAAAACTGGACGACTATCCCACATGCACCCGATGATTTTGTTCAGTAATCTACTTCTTGGAACCCCTCTATATACCCTCTGGTTATGACTAACATAGCCATGGAAAATCACCATTTTTAATAGGCAAACCATCTATAAATGGGCCATTTTCCATGGCTATGTTAAATAACCAGATGGTAGATGAACTTTTGCAGGAGCCCCAAGAAAAAGTCTAGTCGCCGCGCCTTGTCGGGTTCTGTGATGTAATCATCACTGATGTCAATGTAGGCCGCAACCGCTCCAACAGCCTTCACCTGGGACAGCTGGGGATGGCGGATTGGATCAAATCCATAAAACTCTCTGGTGCTCTTGGGAAACCTGACAGTTCGATGTGGGTTTTCCCACCGTGTTTTTTAATCATTGTATCATGTTCCTAGGGAAAACCCATGGCTATCCCAACTTTCAACAGGAACATCGTGCCCATGGGGGTCATCATTCAGCGGCTGTGATTTCACCTGAAAACAACTACCCATCCCATCGATTCACCTATTTATAATATATTATCAGTATTACAGTATTATGTTTATTAATTGTCATTGATTATTATTATTATTCATTATTATTCATTGGTATTCACTATTATTCATTATTATTCATTACTAATTATGCATTATTATTGTTTTTTTATTATTGTTATCTATTATCATTAATATATATATACCATATATTTTCATGGGTCAAATCTCCAAGAGTTCACCCAAAGGCTTTGAGTCCACCTTTTTTTTCAAATGTCATCCAAAAAGGACAGATTTTTTGTCATGTGGGATTCACCCAACTATCCATTCTTCATCTATGATTGTTAAAAATGACTTCCAAACATCCATTATCTAACCATCAAAAAAAAAACAGTAGCATTATTATAACCATCTATTAACCATCTATTATGGTTATAGCAGTTATAGCATGTACCATTATGTACCATTAAACATGATTAATCATTATTTCTCCATTAGTTACACACCCAGCATCCATAACCATGGTAACCTGTATGACAGGCTCCCAGCCATCGATGTCGCCTCGGCGGCCTCCTTCTTCTTGGCCGCTTCATGTGCAATGCCTCGGGGGTTCACCAAGAAATGGATGGGATATTAATACAGAACGGCCCCAAAAAAGGGGGAGTGATTTCTGCTCCAAAAATGATGAAAATTACTGGTATTTACATGTATTTACGGTGTTTTGTGACTAGAAGGGGCATTATTCATATGGGTTGCCCCATTAATATCCCATGAATATTCCATGAATTTTAATTCAATCTGTTTCATTAATAGATATGTTCCCCATTAATACCCCATTAATTTCACCAAGAAAAACTTAATCAAATATGCTATGGATGGGACATTCATGGATGGGATATTCATGGGTTTACATCCGGAAATAATGGATATACCCTCTGGTAAACTAACATAGCGAACTGGAAAATCAACATTTTTAATGGGTAATTCAACTATTTATATGGCAATGTTCAATAGCTATGTTAAATTACCAGAGGGTAGGTTTTTTTCCTACGGATTTATAGGCAATCATTTTCTGGTGATAGAATGGGGATACTGGAATGAATGGGATATGTATATAACCAACTTGATATATGATATGTTGGTTTGTGAAAGTGCTGGATCTTCCACCAATTTATGGCATGTTGGTTTGGTTAGAATAAATGATGGTTAACCAGTGATTTCCAAGATGTTCCATATGTTTTTTAGACAACGCCCAAAGACATCGCCAAAAAAAAGTCGGAAAAACACCATCTGGGCATATATTGGTCACTTCACCGAGATGCCTTGTCGATCTGGATATTCAAATTCCCGAAATTTGGCAATCCCATCCCCTGAAATTTATTTGACATCCCCGAAAAAACTGTTCCAACATGTCCCAATATGTGTAAATCCCCTACTGAACCATGCTTTCTGGGGGGTTCTTTAAGTCCATCCCCACCTGGGATGATGAAAATCTATCATCCCTCAGCGGAGCCAATTTTTTGGGGCATCTAAACGATGCCCATCATGTCATCTAAGATTCAACATTCAGTTCCCTTAGGAGGATTAGGAGCTATCCAAAATATTAGGGGAACAGTTTTGCGATGATCCCCCACGAGTGGGGCTGTTAGCAACCAAAACAAGGGTCTGTACCAGATGGGACCAAATCTCATCTGGGACTCCAATACATGAACGATCCAATATACTGAACCAGCGCTTCCTTTTTCTGATTGTTGAATGGTCTAAACACCCCCAATATCATGGTGTTGACTATTCAAGTATGCATATGGAGGTTTCCTAAAATGGGGGTACCCGATGGCCCATGGGTTTCCTTGGATGATGACTGGGGTACCCCTATGACTTAGGAAACCACCATATATGCACCAGGCCCTGCCCCCCCCCCCCTCCCCCCCCCCGCATGGGATGGGTCCCATATTGAGATCTTCCCCCTCCCCCCCTGTGGTGTGGTGGGGGTGTGGTACTGTCCCCCTCCCCCCCTTGTGGTGTGGTGGGGGTGTGGTATGGTATGTTGGGTATGTATGGTGTGTATGGTGGGTCTGGTATGGCATGTTTGGAAAGTATGGATGTATGGTAGGTATGGTATGTATGGCATGTATGTTTGCTATTGTATGTATGGTAGGTGTGGCAATTATGTTGCATATGTATGGTATATGTGGTATGTATGATAGGTATGATAGGTATGGTATGCATGGCATCATTGGAATGTATGGTAGGTACGGTATATGTTAAACACATGTAATGTTGTCAGAGTACACAGGTAGTAAATAGGAAGTAGATACATAGCACATGTATATATATCACTATAGGTAGTACGTAGGTGTCACGTAGGTACTTTGAGGGAGTATATGTGCTACGTAGGTCACCTAAAAGGTAGCATGTACCTAGTAAATGCGAGGCTGGTAGTCAGAAATGCTGCAAAGACCTAGCAAATACGAAGCTGGACATCAGAAATGCTGCCAATAGCTTGCAAATAGAAGGAAAGGGGGGGTGGTACCTGGGGACCCAACCCATGGGGGGGGGAGGGGGGGGGTGGAGAGACGGAGGACGGGACCATATATCCCATCAAAATTCAACAACAATCATAATGTTTCCATGCATAGATGGCCGCACAATGTTACCAACTGAGCCCGTAACGAAGGCAGGCGGCTTTGGGCTTGCCTAAAAAGGGCCGCGCTGGGACAGGAGCCGCAGGACAGGAAGCCAGGGCCGGGATGGGAGTGCTAAACATCTGCAGCAAACCCCTGCAAAACCAGGCATCCATTTTGGGGGTGGATAATTTGGAATCATACGCATTTAATAGATCCAAGATGATCCAAGATCCCATATATGAATTTCTTTGTACGGAAACAAGGTCCACCAAGAAAATGTCCGAATTTCACACACCAATGATGGTACTGGATTTGTCCCAATAGAACAGTAGTCCAAATATTCTTGCAACTTAAATGAGGAACAGTAATTGCCAAACCAAACCATGGAATTTTGTGAGCACTGTTTTCACAGAAATCCAGTACTGGAAATTACCAAAAGTTCTCATTGTCTGTGTTTTGAAATTTTGACTTACAGTATAGCCACTTGATTCTCATGTGGACTTCACGCATCACTGATCTTCACACTCTTTCAATTCTTTCACGTCAATCTTTAAGTGTGGCTCAGCCCCTTTTCGAGAGATTTCGCTGAGTCACCTAAATGCCGAACTACAAAAGCTATACAATCGGCAAGAAAAGATTAGGGCTTCAAAATGACAAACTTCACAGGCACCGCAGAAGACTTGCGCCATTCAAGGCGTCGGCCTGAAGCCTATCTCTGAAGCCAGGGATTCGCGTACTGAGCTTGGCTCAGACAAGAGACATCTTGATGAGTTCCCTCACAGATTGCGCCATCTATGAGATCTAGATTCTGGAAATATCCTCAGATTTCGTGTATCAGAATGTCCTCAAATATCTCAAATCAGGTTGACAAGTGTGTCATACAACGTAAAGAATAAACACGCCACGGGTGCGTAGTAAATGGCACGTTCCGCGCCACCCACGAAGAAGCCTTCCAGGCCTTTGGTGGCCCAAATTCTGGAGGCTGCACCTTTGACGAGGTCCAAGACGCTACTGTCATCCTCCTGGTTGGGATTGTTGAATCTTGGATTCTCAGGGTTTGTTCTTCCAAAAAAAGTGCAACCTGGTGATTTCTCATGATTGTCCCATTGTCCCTAAGGGCGATTTTGGGCTACCAGTACAGTTGTAGTTACAGTTATATATATATATAAACATCATACTGTAGATGGACCAAATCCTCCACCAGATGATGGGATAATAATAGGATAAACGATCTACCAACTGGTTCAGTTTTTTTCCATCCATACCACGTGATTTTTTCATACTTTTGCCGTTTTCGATTGCACCTCAAAGGTCGCAAAGTATTGAACTACCCTTCACCAGTTGGATTCCTATAGACTTTTGCTCATTAATCCAGTCAAATCCCAATTTTTGGGGGTCAACCCATCACCCAACGAGTCGGTTTTTCTACTCTTTCCCAGTGGGGCTAAGCCCAGTAGTCTGTTCAGTACCGCCTTTTTGTGCTGGTTCAATCATGGTAAACCCGCATTTTGGCTGCTTAGGTCACCACAAATCACCACATAAACCATACTAATTCTTTGGTGTCCCCATGATTTCCTCCTCGTTTTCCCTGCTGGTTTTTCCCCTGCTGAAACCCCAGGCCCCCAGAAACCCAGCCCTCCTTGGCGTTGGAGACCTCCGTCATGACCGTGGTGGAGATGTTGTCCACCGGCACCGTCAGGGCACCCGCGAAGAAACCCGCCAGGAAACCCCAAACCAGGCGCTGAGCGAAGAGGTTGAAACCTGGGAAGCGAAGGTACGAAGGTAGGACGGGACATCACGGGAACAACGCAACTAGTGGGATTTTTTCAAATAAAAAAAAACAAGTAATTATATAATATTTAATATATGATTGAACAGTAATTTTGGTGACTTGTTTTACCATAAAATAGTATCAAACTCTAATATAACAGGATTTTGAAAGAGATTGATTTGAATAGAATCCTGATCGAAAATAGTGATACACGACTTGTCTATCCTTTTTTTGGCGAGAAGTGTTCATAAAATCCATATATGTATATATCCATATATAACTATATATTATAACTCCAACAAGTTGGATGATTGACACCAATCATGCGGCAAGTTTAACCCTAAATGGTTGCTCAATTGACACCAATTTCGCTGGTCAATTGACTTTGACACTTTTCCCGGGTATTGGGCGACACCTTCGAGATGACTTGGGCAAAGACCAATGGACGAAAACAAAACGGTTAAATGGTTAAATACGATTAGTTATTATTGTTTCTTGTGTTTATCAATCCCAAAGTGGCTCTCAAGAATTTTGGACACCAAATCACACTAAAATACACTAAGACTGTTTCACAGTATATGTATACATGTGCTCCTATATGCTAAGCACCTTTCACGTGATCCCACACGTAATCAGCCTGCTTGGCGGTTGAGCCAGCCGAAGGTACAAAATGGTACAAAAAAGGAAAAAAAAACAGCACACCACCAACCAGGCAAATTTCTTCCATTCTTCACGCATGTTCGAGGCAATTTTGTTGCTGACCTCCCTTTTTTAGGGCCATCGGTCAAAGGTCCCGTCAGATCTCGTGGCCCAGAAACCCAGTGGCTCCAAGTACAAGGGCGTGAACTCCTGCCGCCAAATTTCAAAGTGCGTTGCAACCTTCAAGGCTAATCCCAAAACCTCATTGTATGAACCTCCAACTGGGGGTGGTTTAAGCCACTCATCTTTGGCACATTGGGGATGGGTTCCTATTGATGGGTTCGTCACATTAGTCAATGAGGATCATCGCCGCAGGCAGGAACTGAAACAAAGCAATTGAAATCGTCAAACTCGGCACAATCAAAAGCCAAAAAAACGCATATGCTCACAACTAATTCGGACCAGAATTTTCTCAGAATTTTCCCCCAGATATTTGTTAAAACAAATCCCGACACCGCAGGCTGCGACCCCATCCATATCCTTGAAGAATTCAAAGAAGACCAGTTGGAACGTGCCATACGGTACATCTCGAACCAGAATGGCAGTCCTAACCGAAAGGTGGACCCATGCATTTGCCAAGTGGTGATTTGAGTTTGCTCCATTAAACTGTGGATTGATATTTACTACATGTACAGAATTGGGAGATAGTCTGCTTTTTACTCAGTTATTAGCCACTCATTACCTGGAATGCCAATCCAAGAAATCTATCCTGCTGAAATGTTTGATCCAGAAATCAAAGGCGTCCGGACTGAGAGGGGTTGATATGTACAGGTACCCAAGATTACCCAAGACTTTGGGGATTTGGGGTAGCATATGATCATATTAATGGATAATAATGGATCTGTATTTGCCGAACAAAAAAAATATCCCGAATGAACTTCTGGGTCATTGCTCACCAGCCCTTGCTTTTTTGAAGGGGTTTTTTAGACGCGACGACCATTTCGGACTCTTGTTGATCCAATCCCTTTCGACAACAAACACTCCACAGCAACCCCGGTGTAGCATTTGAATCTGTTCATTTTGGGCCCCCATAAGGGGTGTTTCTCAAAATTTGGGTAGTCGAAAATACCCGCAAAACCACCTCAAGAACCAAGTGTTGGATGATTTGGGGTCTCTTACTTTTAGAACCCTGGATGCTTCCATTCGCAAAAATTTGGCGCTTCTGGCAGCTACAGGTTGTACTCTATGATGTTATCCTCTATTGCAACCACGTGCGGCAGCAACCGTGGTTGAACTATCTTTCAGGTTGTCTTTGAACCCTTTAACCTTTCCGGAAAAGGGATCCTGTAGAGACTCCAACTGAACTGCCAGTACTGTATTTTGGGTAATGTCCCACCCTACGTTTCTTGTTATGAACCACTACAGTACGATTTCTGCAGCTCAAAACGACCCCAAAAAACTCCTGCTTTCGACCAAGCATCCAGGACGCAAAGTAAAACTTGGAGGCCCCCGGGCGGGAGAAAACCACATCGAAAGCTTCAGAAAAGTTCTTGGCTTTGCCCGCCTGAACCTGTTTGTTCATGAGTTCCTCAGGTTGGTCGGAAGCGGAATGTGTTCCGAATTCATCGAAATTCCAGGACAGGGAGCCTGAGTTTTGTGAGAAAATTACAAGGAACCCTCGTTATGTTTTATTCCCAATCATAGCGGCGTCCTGTAAATTGTCCCACAAGACACTTCTGGGACTGAATCAGTGTTTAATTTGCTGGCGATGCACTTGAAGTCGCATCTCAGAGGAGAACTTGATTGGGCCAAGTCATTTTGAGGATCTGCAGCCGGTTTGGTATACCAGCTTTCATCATGTACAGGATCACCAGGTGTTGGTTGTTCAATTTGGGAGGTGGCCCTCTTTTAATCAACCAAGACAAGGACGACTATGCTACTATGTTGCAAAAAGAAAAATCATCAATACTCATCAATCACCTATTAGAAAAGTAAAATCACCTAACTTCACTTGACAAGAAAAATCACCTAACTTCACTTCAGACCTTGGGAATCCTGGTATGTCTCAACTTCAATTGGAACCACCGAAAATCCCAGGGTTTTAGAAAATCCAAAGAGTAGGACGGTGGAGGATCATGCCACGAATCGTAACTGGATCATAAACCTTGTGATCGTAAGTCCCTTGAACAGCTTATCCCATGCATAGATGCTTCAATATGTCGACTTCAGAACCTAACGGTAAGTAGGTTCGGTGAAATATACTTTTCTTTATGGTTACCCTTCTAACTATCCAGATAAATATAGGTATATTTATGTGTTAGTTATCCCTTCGTAGGTTAATTACTGTGGCTACTGCAGTTCCAGTAGGACCAAGCCACAAAGGGAACCCTGACCGTCGAGCCGACGGCATCGGCAATGGCACCCGCGGGCACCATCGCAGCGAAGCGCAGAAAGGTCACATTGGCCAAGCTGCCATTCAGAAGCCTCGGTGCTGAGTGAAATCCACTAGCAATCCCCAAAGATAGAGGATCTACAATGATCTAAAACAGATCAAAAAAGATCGAGGATCTAAAATCTTAGTATTCCATTGGATAGAGATTGGTGAAATCCGAAACTACCACAATGAAGAATTACTTTTCTATATCTTTTTGGGGGTTGCATGGGGTTACTATATGGTAAATCTGAGTGAATTACCCCATGGCAATCGAACGTGGCTTACTTGAAAATAGAATGAACATAGAAAATATTGCTCATTCAGTTGCTTGTTCACGCCGAGCAGCAGTAGAACCCAGTTGAAAATTGCTCGCTTCAAGAAGTTGAAAATTGCCAGTAGCATTGCCTCGTAACGGATTCAAAGCAACAAAGATCTTCCACCTTGAGAGTGGTGTTTGGTTCGCAAAAAGTTCAAGAAACCCATAAGAAACCCAATCAATTTGTCAAGCCGTCCCAAAAAGATGCGGGTGTTTGGAGTCATCATCCCAGTTCTATGGTTGAAAATGAAACATGTTTGAAACTCCCCACCTAGCGAACCATGCCCATGCAGGGTGCGCCAAGAATTGGCCCAACGTTTTCCCAAAACTTTGGCGGACAGTGACCAATGGGGACACCCGTCTTGGTGACCAAACACATCGACCCCAAAAGGGTCCAGTCCATCTGTGGGTTTCTAGGACTTGGTCTTCCAAATTAGGGCGTTCCATGTGCCTTTCAGAATTTCAAGGGAGCAGCCCCAAAACCCTGCGTCATCCTAGTGCTTTTTCGTGGTTGTTTGGTGGCAGGTTGCCGTAGGCATTTGTTCACAATCCCACTTCAACCAGTTAGTCTGGGCCTAGTCCCAATCATCATTCCAAAACTAGATCAAAATAATAAACAAATCTTGGAATTTGTATATATTTGGATTTCAAGTGTTAGGATTTCAAGTTCATCAAAAAAAAAAAGGGATACGACACTAGTGGTTGCTCAATCCCCCATTTTGGGTTGTTGCACTGCTGCACTGCTTACATCACCGTTTTCGTCGGTCAAAAAACGCTTCCTGGTCACGGCATTGGGCGCTTCTCGCCCCAGGTTCAGCAACAAGCCATCCTGGGCGGTGAGGGGCCTAGAGTCCTGGTTGGATGGCTGGATGGTACCTGAAAACATTTACCCTGTAAAAACGCAGTTGTCCATTGGGAAATGAGGAAAATGAGGGATTGACACCACCAAGTAGCAGTTCTTTCATGGTTTTGATGGGGATTTGATGAGGATTCACCATCGGGGTGCCCTGTTTTTAGAAAAACCCGAAGATGTGGGGCATGAGTCATACCTATTTACCAAGCCTTTATCGGCCATGTTACCTTGCGGCAAACATGAATGGCAGTGGGAAACAGAAACCCCCGAACTAGATAGGCATTTGAATCAGAAAATCATCTGGAAATGGTAGACTTTCCATAGCTATGATTGATTACAGGTGGTACCAACCATTGACCAACTTACTATAGCTATAACCTGTAATCCATTGACCAACCCAATCTACTATAGCAAATTGATTACTATGGTGCCAATAGTATAGTAGAGGTAAAAAACATTGACCAACATTGACCAACTCAATCTACTGGTTGTCCCCTTGGCCAAGCGACATAGAGGGCCAGGAAGCCCCCTTCCTTGTCAGATGGCATGGCTGAACGCCCAGTTTGGAGTCTCACCTGGCATGGCTATCCCTCAGCTTCGGGCTTATCCAGGGATATGCAGGGTAAGTGGATGATTTATGGGGAAATATTTGGTTGACTATCAACACTTGGGATGCCAAGCAACAATAATCCAGTCAATGAAGTTATCATTTCAAAGGATTCTCTCCAGGAAGCTTTGAAGTCGGAGGAAAAACCTGCAGAAAACGATAGATTTACCCGCCAAATATGCCAAAGTTCCCTGCAAAGCTTAGAACCAATTGGGATTAATGGGGATGCACCAGGATGCACCACACCAAAATTCTGATTTTGACTATTTCTAGGCCACGAGATGTTGGCGCTTTCCCATATCTTTGGAGACAAATTCCCATAGGTGGTAACTCAAGTTACAACAATCTTGGAAAACGTATTGTTTCCAACCCTCCAAATTGTCCAACCCCCTTTGATGTTTTTTGAAACTTTACTAAACAAGAGTCAATTTCTCAGACTCTATTTTGAAAAAAATGACCACGTACGCATTTATATCCTGATGGCCTTTGTGTATTCTCGTATTCCTTTGTAAAGCTGAGGGGAATAGGGATAGGGGCTGATGCTGGGAGCTTGGCAGGCATATGTTGAATTGTCAATGGAAGTTGGAATCTAGTTTACAGTCTATTTCCCACGTTTCTTAGCGAAAGGGTCATGGTTAAGACATGAACACACATGTGGAGGGTACTCCCAAATCATCCAAATTAATTAGATCATTTTAGTAAACCCATGGTGACTTGGGGATCCTCTATGACTTTAGAAACGCCCATATTATCGTTGGTTTACCTCCATTATATTGGTTTACCTCCATTAAACCTCCATTTATAGTGGATTTTCCTATATTTTCCCATGATTCAAAAGCTCTAAGACTCTAAGCCTACTCGAATTCAGCCGTCTCCCGCGCGCCTTAGTGGAATCGATGGGATAGACCACGCTACACGCCACCACCGCCGCCACGAAACCGCAGAGCGCGTCCTTCGACAGTTGATCCCCACTGCTGCTGGTCCGGGCGATCCAGGAGTAGGTGAAGGTCTTCACCTGGACAAAAATCGCCAAGTCACCAAACAATCGGGGGAACAAATGTGGATTCTAACATGAAAAACATGGAAAAAACAGGTCAAAGTGCTGGAAAAATGGAAGTTGACCTGGTAAAATGGGTGGTTTTACCAGTAGTACCGCGCAAGGCGGTGGCGGAAGTTTCAAAAATAGGAAACCTATAGGAGAGGTTGGTTGTTGTGAATCAGGGATGGCAGAGCGAAGCCACTGATGGAGCGAAAGGTGATTGATCTCTCTCACTATTTCTCTCTCTTTCTCTGACTACCTACCTACCTACCTACCTACCTACCTACCTACCTACCTATCTATCTATCCCTCTCTCTCTCTCTCTATCTATCTATCTATCTATCTATCTATTTATCTATCTATCTATCTGTCTATCTATCTATCTATGTATCTATGTATCTATGTATCTATCTATGTATCTATGTATCTATGTATCTATCTATCTATCTATCTATCTATCTATCTATCTATCTATCTATCTATCTATCTATCTATCTATCTATCTATCTATGCATCTATCTATCTATCTATCTATCTATCTATCTATCTATCTATCTATCTATCTATCTATCTATCTATCTATCTATCTATCTATCTGTCTATCTCTCCATCTATCGATCTATTGTAGTTGTAGTTGTACTTGTAGTTGTAGTAGTAGTAGTAGTAGTAGTAGTTGTTGTTGTTGTTGTTGTTGTTGTTGTCGTTGTCGTTGTTGTTGTTGTTGTTGTTGTCAAGTTAGTTAAGTTAATCAGTGTCTACTTTTTCGACATCAGCACGTCAAAAAAGGCTCAAAACCCTCACTTTTTTTTACACTTTTGACTTCCAAATGTGCTTCGCGCCACAACAGCGTGCACTTTTTCGACACTTTTTCGACATCTGAACCTCCAAAAGTGGTCCGAGACCGTCAGTTTTTAACACTTTTGACTTGAAAATGGGCTTCGCGCTACAACGGCGTGCACTTTTTCGACATCGCAACTTCCAAAAGTGGTCCGAACCCCTGGTGTTTTGTACATTTTGACTTGGAAATGTGCTTCGCGCCACAACGGCGTGCACTTTTTCGACATCTCAACTTCCAAAAGTGGTCCTGACCTGGTGTGTTTTGTACCTTTTGACTTGGAAATGTGCTTCGCGCCACAACGGCGTGCACTTTTTCAACATCTTAACTTCCAAAAGTGGTCCGAGCATGGTGTGTTTTGTACATTTTGACTTGGAAATGTGCTTCGCGCCACAACGGCGTGCAACTTTTCATCTCTCATCTGGCCAGCTGGCTCCGCACCCGCCGCTTAGCGAGCCTACTTTTCGACTCTCCGGAGCCACAAATCATTGGAAAAACACAGTGTTTCGCGACTTTCCTACCTTTTCGCGCATCTGCATCTTCTTTCTTCTGACTCTTTCTCTTCTACTCTTCTCTCTTCTAATCTTTCTCTTCTCTCTGCCTCTGCCCTGCTCTGCTTTTCATCTGTCCATATTGTCGGAAGTTTGACTTCTAAACTTCCTTCGACTATGTTTTACTTTGTTAGAAAACTAGTGAGTTGAACCAAATTTGGAGGGTGAACTAAGCAAAATGCGGGGTTGATCAGAAAGACTGGTGGTTTCAAAGTTTAAGCAGCAAACATGGTCGATTAGGTCAGCAACAGTTGGTTGCATTACACAAAAAAAAGGTGCTTCAAGTATAAGCAGCAACAAACATGATGGTAATGGGTTATCTAATCCATTTTCACCCATAAAATCAACCCCTTTCACAGTCCTTGTGGTTACTGGGCCCCCTCAAAAAAGATTGCACTCTGCCTCTGAATCCTGCAGTTCCTTGTTGTAGCTCAGCCGCACGATAGCAAACCTCGGTTCTTGGGATTGCCAAAACGTCTCCGGGGAAAATCACGTTGCACCACAGATGTTGAGGTGTGAAATGAGAAAATATACATATATATATATATACAAATGTATGTGTGTATGTAAATAATATAATATAAGATAATATAACATAATATAATATAATATATTACAATATAATATAATATATATATAACACCTAATATAATAGAAGAGAAGAGAATATAATATAGTATAATATATATTTAAAAAAAAAAAAAAAAAATATATATATAAAGATCACAAACATATAATATAATATATAACAAACATATAATATAATATATAACAAACATATAATATAATATAATATAATATAATATAATATAATATAATATAAAATATAATATAATATAATATCATATCATATATAACAAACATATAATATAATATAATATATAACAAACATATAATATAATATAATATAATATAATATAATATATAACAAACATATAATATATATGTACAATAGTATAATATATATATATGTAGTATAATATATATATATGTAGTATAATATATATATATATATGTAGTATGATATATATATATGTAGTATAATAATTTATACATATATGTAGTATAATATATATGTATATGTTTATATGAATGTGTATATATATAGTTTAAGAATATGTGTATATATATATAGTATATATATATATATATCGAAAATCGATTCAACCCTATGACACTTTCAGATATGTGCCGAAAAAGATACCAAAAAAACAATGACGATCTTCCCCTAATAGCTAAACCTCAATCATTAAGTAATTACATAGGAATTTCTAGGATATTGAGAGTTGATATTTAAAAAATATTTACCATCTGGTTATTTAACATAGCCATGGAAAATGGCCCATTTATAGATGGTTTACCTATTAAAAATGGTTATTTTCCATGGCTATGTTAAATAACCAAAGGGTATAGGATATTAAGCCCTACCCCATCCCCCCAGCGGGTGGCACCAAGGCACTTGGCCTTGCCATCCACCCGTGCCACCCAGAGCACCCGCCCCGTCTTGCCCTTGTCGGGGCCCACCAAAATCACGACTTCGTCGCGGACCAAGGGCGGTTCCAAGGCCGGAGGTTCCTTGGAGGAATGTCCCAAAACATGGCCATCAACCAACCATTTTTGTTGTGGCAATGTCAGTTGGAATATTGGATTCCAACGGGATTTTTTATGGGATATATCATGAACAAACTGACATGTGGTTTCTCCAAAAACAGGGTATAGTAGTATAGCTGGTACATAAAATGGCAATGTTTATGTGCAAACATTGTGATTCACCATCATTGTGGGGGTACCTTAATTGTTAGACCAACCCATTTAATCTGAAGCAATGTTTGGCATTGGCAAAAAATAAATTTGAGACTTCCCAGTCTGTACACAGCATATATTGAAATGAATAATAACAAATTGTATTTTATGATTCACTATATTGCATATTTAATGTTATATCCGTAATACATTGTATATATATTATACATGTGCGAAGTTCCCTTACCATGAACCTTCCCTTCCAAGCATCAAACTCGATCTGATCCAGACTCACGATCTCTTTAGGAGTCGTTCCTGGCTGCTCATCATCAATCTCAATATGGGAATCTATCCATGAGTGATACTAAGATGCCTATTTTCTAATTGGGAATATGAATTAATATGATGATTAAATATGATTAGCCGGTGGATGGAATATAGAGAATGGGAGCTTTCCGGCATTTTCCTCTAAATTTTCAGACAAACCCTGATATTGGCCATGATAATTCGTATGAATGGAGGATGATGAAGGTATGACAGGTATGACCATGCCCAAATCTGGGTATAAACCCCGAAGATTCAACCTTGACACACATCCCTTGCACCTTTCTTGAAGCATCACCACACCTTGAACTCCTCTTCCGCCCTCCCGGTTCCTTCCAACCCCAGGTTACCTCCGTCTTCGTCGTAGCCTTCGTAGAGATCCCCGGCCTTGAGATATCGGTCGTAGGACAAACTCATGAGCGCCGAAGCCTCTTCTGCACCTGTTGGATTCCCACAGGATTTCCACAGTCTGGGCAGTCTCCAGGGTATTCTTGGGGGTTGGGAATGTCTGAGAACATCTGAAATATCTTTGGCTGGGGTTGTATGAATAATGGATGGGGATACATTGATACACAAATGGCGATATAAACCATTGAGAACCAATAGTAAATGGAGCAGGTTGACCTACGCCAAGGTCTCACCGCATCTTTTCCAGAAAGACTCTCTCAGCTCAGTTCACCTTCAAGACTAGGCAGGTATGATCAGGTTTGACCTGTTTTGGTACAGCTCCACCATCGGGTCACTCGGCATTTTGTGCTGGTGAAATACCTTCATCATCTGGGCATACTGTCATTCACAAACCCTGAAACCAACCCATTCCCCCATCTCAACCTCATGTTTTGGAACTGATTCCCCGATCCCAACCATAAATGATCTATATTTATTGAACAATATTGAACACTTATAGGCTGTAGTTCTTCCAGCCCCCCCACCCCCAAAAACCACCATCTCACAACTATTTTATCGACTTACAAACCTATATGCCTGGCCAAAAAACATAATTCAACCACCAGTTCCCCTCCCCCAACCTCAACCCCAACCAACCCCCTAACCCCAACCAACCCCCCCACCTGGCAAGTTCTTCTCCTCAACCGCCTTCTCCAGCTCCCGCAGGTGTCGATAAAACGCGCCCACCTCGTAACGCAGCGAGAAGCGCAACGACTCGTCCACCGCACTGGTGGAGGGGAAGGCCGAGTCCGTGTAGCGAGTGAAGACCTGGGCGGGGCATCCGGGGGGTTGGGGGGGTTGGGGTTGGGAGGGAAGGCAGAGTCCAAGAGGTTTTGGGATTGGGATTGGGTCGTCGTTTTGGGGTTTTTTGGGTGGTTGATGTTGTACAGAGCAAAACATGGTATAAAATGATAAGTACACAGTACACCTATCAGCCAAATTGAGACCAGGATGCCATGTATCAGCATGCAGCAGTCTGGTTGGTTTCAACTTTCAACCCATCCCCCCCAAAAAAGTCACTTCCATCACATCATTCCAAATATGAACAAATATGGCTGAAAAATATTGAAAAATGTTGAACATCAAGCGGTGGTTTCCAGCCAAGTGGCAGGCAAGTAGGCTTGAAAAAGGTTGGAATAAATGGCCAGATTTTGCCAGTCTTCGTCATAGACATCTTGCTGCAAATCAGCCAAATCAGCTGCAACCCCACGCAAGCGTTTCAAGACCTTGGCACTTGTGCAAGGTCTGAAGACAGGGGGGTCTCAAAAATTGTATGGTTTTGGCTATGTTGAAGTAAAACCATCTGAAGTTAGGGTGTCCAACACATTCCAATACCAGACAGTTGACTCCCCCAACTCTCTTGACTCCCAACTATAGTTTTGGGTGGATGTTTATATCACAACGCCGGTTTTTGTAAAAACCATGGAGGAGAAAGCGGGCCCCATGAAACGCTTGACCATCCATAGCCATCACTTGGTCCCATGATACGCCAGCAAGGCACCGATTTGGGCACACGCCTCCAAGCAGCTTTCTCATCGGCTCTCAGGGCTGCCCTCCACTCGGGTTTTAGAAGAGACTTCCAGTCAGGCAGTTTTTGAGCGATCCTTAGGCGTTCCAGTCAGGCTGCGGTGGCGAGAAATGATGGTCATGTAAAAAGGATCGCCCATTTTGGGTGGGTGGATGAAAAGGCAAGTGAAACATGTGTTCCAAAGATCACTTTCCAGCCAGCAAATAACTGATGCATTTCATATACTGCAGCAGACTCCAATATGTTTGTATCTATATATAATATATATACATCTAAATATGAATGAATATGAATGAATATGTATGTAATGTAATGTAATGTGATGTGATGTGATGTGATGTGATGTGATGTAATGTAATGTAGTGTAATGGATGGATGGATGTATGGATGTATGCATGGATGTATGTAAGTATGTATGTATGGATGGATGGATGTATGGATGGATGTATGGATGTATGGATGCATGGATGCATGGATGTATAAATGTATGGATGTAAGGATGGATGGATGTATTTGGGGCTTCACCGCTGCTATCCATCTGTGTAAGCAGACACAGATGAGGAACTTGATTGTTATTGGTGGTATCTACAACAGTGGCCTGTCACTGACACAACCCTGGTAACCCTTGAATGTGTTCAAAAAGACAATCCCCGGTTTGAAAACAAGCGTCCGAAGATTTCCACATACAAATTTCCTCCTAATAGACCCCAAAATGAACAAAGAGCGCACTAATTCACGGGTATTAATATGAAGCATCAAAGATTAAGGAATACCGAGCATCAAAAATGGCTTGTCATTTTACCAGCATTTTGTCATTGCAGGGTTACTTGATCATCTTGATCAAATGGAGACGTCGCAATAGTTGTTAGGGGGATGGGATATGGTATCCTTCCATTTTAGCCCAGTAGCCAATCCTGGGAACCGAGCAAGAAAGTCCTAACCACTTAGCCTCTCGCTGGTTGCTTCATGTTCACAGCTATGGCTCAAAAATTACCTGTAAAATCCTGTAAACCAAAATCAGACATGGAAGACCAATGGTTTTCCAAGAAAAGATCTACATTTGTCTGCATGGAAGCTAATATCTTCATCCTATGTGAATAGACCTTCATTCCATTCCAATATATTAATTATCTTGAGTTTGAGTTTTAGCCAAAAAAAAATATCAAAATGGCCATCCATTGGACCTCTCGATTGACGTCAGGCCACTCTCCCTCGGTGCTCTTCGACTCTACCGGCGCGACTGCCGCCACGGGCGCGCCCAGATTGGCCGTGACCAGCAGTGCGGCAAGGGCAAACATGGCGAGGGGCCTGGTTTTTCGCGGCTCATCCAGGCGCAACTGGGTGGGGATAGATTGCATGGGAAAAGTTGGTACCTGGATTAGTTCACCCCAATTGCAACTGGACTAACCTACTTAGCCTATAACTGGGGTGAACTAACCCACTTGCGAACTGGAATGAGCCACCAAGTACGGCATATCCTGCCACTTAAAGAGGGTTTATGAGCTCGGAGTCCTTTCATTTGGGCTGTGGTCTGCTCCAGAGGTATGTTCGATTCAACTTACAAAACCAGCTGGCTAGGGAATTTTACCAATTTAAGCAACCAAAATTATGATGATTTCATGGATTACAAGCATCACCGGGGGTTTATAGTTCACCAACAAACATTGAAAATTAAGCAGCCAAAATGGAGTTGTTGCATTGTTTAATCACCAAAAAGAGTGATTTCACCATTATTTGGGGGTTATTTGTTAGCATCTAACCAACAAAGACATGGCCGGGGATATATATATATATATATTGGGATATAGATTGGTCAAAATGATTCAACAAATGGACATGTCTTCATATATATGTTCTTAATAAATGATGAACATTGGAAATATATATATATACAGAAACCAATCGAAATGAAAATAAACATAGCATAGAATCAACAATGACCGCTTCTACCACCCTCAGTAATTATCAGAAGCAAAGACACATAGGCACACAGATATAATAAACAAAGATTAGTGAAAAACAGTGAAAACAATCCACTCGTCACCATAATAGAGAATCATCATTGTTGACCCTGCATTGTTGCTTGAGTCAATATCTGATATATCTGCAATGAAAACAGCAAAAGGGTGGAAAGAGCCAGTATATCTCGTAGATTGTGGTATGGATGACAATCCGTGGACAAAATGTATATAGCTTCAGCATATCTGGCCTCATCCCATTCCCAACAAGCCAAGCACAGCTCAGGCGCTTCCATGAAACCTGCTCTGTTGAAGCTCTTGTTCCAGGCACATCTTGCAAGTGAGGACCCAACTGCGGCACGCCACGGGACGGACTTGACTCACTTGACGGCGGGCGCCCTCCAAAATTCAGAAAAACGGTGCCACAGACAGTCGCACACAGCGCCAGGAGTGCACCAGATCGGATCCGATTTCTGTACATCCGCAGCATGGGATTTAAGTCATGGGGATTTCAAGCTTCAGAAAAGCTGACCATGTCATGTTTGGCCACGAGCCGCGAAAAGCCAAAAGAAGCTGCAGAAGAGAAAGGTCAGGAAAGCGCTGTACCCAAAACACCTCCCAACCAAATCCGCCATGATGTCTGAAAATCCGGATAGGCTCTCCGTGTTTTACAATGTAGGCTCTCCGTTTTTTGACCACTAGCATCATCAGAATATCATCATATGGGTATGGGTCAAAATTAGGTACCCCAATAAATGGATGGTGAATACTAAACTAGACTAACATCTGTGGTCCCCTAGGTCTTCCATTTTGACCCACATCCATATATCATCCCATTCCACCCAATCTTCTGCCGAAGTTGAGCAGCTGCTCGCCAGCCAGCCTGCCTTCGTGCAAGGTGATCGCATCGGCGATCTGCGCTTCCGTCACGTCGCGCCTTGGTATCATCCCGGAGAGCGAACATAGGGGCGCTGGGCATATTCAATATCATCCATGAGATATGGGGTGAGATATGGTGAGATTGCCCAAGAAATTTAGGAATTGGTGACTTCAAGCCAGGCTGTGGTGTTGACTGGAAAACATTGGAAAACCATGTTTTTTTGTATGTTTTTTCCATCAAATCCGCTAGCCGTCACTAGCCTGCATCTTTCCCCTGAAACCACAGCATTTCGAACTCAGCCCGAGGGAACTCGGAACTGAGATGTGTACCTTCTGGTAGTTGAACAGTTCGCTATGGAAAATCATCATGTTTAAGAGGTAAATATGTAAATCAATGTAAATCATCTTTACATGGGCATTTTTTCCATAGATATCTTAAGTTACCCTGTACATACTTTTTGTACACCCATATTCGAATATTAGAATAGCAGATACATGTCGTATCAACTTGATGGTCTTCCTGGGGATGTTATTCTGACCGAGACTTCCATCACGCCTTTGGTCTCTGGAGACTGGAAGATAGCAACCCACTTTTGGGCCCGAAAAAGGTGCGTCTCGTTCTCAACCTCTGCTTCCAGAACTTGGAGTTGATAGTACTAACAAACAAACAAAAAACAGGAAGAAATACGTTTAATATATATATATATATCATAATATTGATATATCATGATATATATATATATTTATGTATATATAATCATCGTTTAAGCCATGTTGAAACATTGTCCAAGAACTGGTCTCCTTCATCAGACTTTCCAGCGATCTGCCATCTGCAGCCCATTTTTGGCTTCACAGGCTTGATCTGCACCCCGGGCTCAGCGAATGCGATCTTTGCGCCTGCTGTTTTTGGGGGATCCCCAAGAATGACAACTCCATAAGACTCCTAAAATGGATGATTAGGGGATACCCCACGATACCCCCATTCCCAAAATGGTTTGTTTATATTGGAACATCCTATTAAAATGGATGATTTGGGGATACACCTATTTCAGGAAACCTTCATTTTGGCTCAACTTGAGATGCAACATTTGATACTTTGAAGCCCTGGGACTTGTCGGGAAAAAGGGGGGAATGATATCAGCAGAGAAGGACGGTGATCATAACGTTAGGTTATTAGTTGTGGGGCCGGGGGAATCAATAACGATAATAATGATAATAATAGTGATGATAATGAAAGAATATAATATGATATAATATGATTGAGTAAGAACAATAACAGCAATAACGATAATAAGACCAACCAACACAACCTCGTGCAGATTTGTCCTGTATCATGTGTGTCAAGAATCATAATCCCCTTTTTGGAATAGTCACCATCAGAAATCAGAAACAGGAATAAAGTAGAATTTGACTCAACGCTAACCACTAACAATTTGGATGTGTCTGTAAAACTATGATATCCCAAATCCACTGGTTTATCCGGAAATGTTTCCCCATTGATGACTGGCATGTTTCATGACTTGCTCCACAACCCTTTTTAAGGGGACAAGAACATAACTATTCATCATTCATTGGTGAAATCCTGTGAAATCCTGTGAAATCCCCATATTTGTTTGATGGTTAAATTTCACCTATTATTGAATCTTTAGATCCCCCATTTTGGGGATTGTCCATATTTTCACCAGCATCTGACAAATGCCTCTGCCATCCGTCCAGCGTCCGCCTCGGGATTTCATCGTTTGAACGGATTTGATGGGCAGCACATGGAGGGTTTGACGGTTCTGACCAACCAAAAAGAGTGGCTGCAACCAACAGAAATATGCCTTTTGACCAACAAGAGATTGGTTTAATTATAAGCAAGGAAAGAAAGGTACTTTCAATGAAGTCTTGGGTTGTAAGCCACTGAGCAAAAACAGTTGCGACATTTACAAGCAAAATTGTTTGCTGGGGAGACTGAACCCACAAAAAGCAGCAACATGTTCAACCAACAAACATGTGGGGAAATAGAACAACCAGGAAATTCGAGTCCGGCTCAAATTTTGGGCAGCAATGGAACCACAAATGGCTGGCCATTTTATGAATTTGAACCAGTCTTGGGAGTCAATCACTACAAGCCACACCTATTTCTGAGTTCAGAAAAACTATTAGCAAGTCCTAATCCGGCTCCAAAAGGTCTGACCATGTCTCATCGAAGTTCCTGGAAATTGTGGGTAAGACGAGCTCATCTTTGATCGACATCCACAGGAGCTCATCTACAATGTCAACCCATGAGACTAAACCTTAAGGTTGATTCATCATGGGGTGTCACATGCTACTGTTGTACTGTACGCCCCAAGGGTCAACAGCTGGTGAATAAGAATCCGGGGTTGACATCATCATACTTTCCAACAAATATCCCCAATGCTGTTGGTTATAAACCCCCAGTGTTCTTAAATCACTATATATTCATCACAATAAATCCCATCCCACTACTGTAATATTCACACCCCCATTCCCAGTTCGCTATCTGGTTGGTGGTTGAGCCACCCCTCTGAAAAATGATGAAGTTCATCAGTTGGGATGATGAAATTCCCAACTGAATGGAAAGTCATAAAATTCCAAGATTCCAACCCACCAACCAGCTATGTTAGTTTACTGGAGGGTAACCAGATCCCAACCATCGACCGGAAAATCCCAGGAAAACCCAGGGACTCTTCCACGGAGACCACATCGCCCCGGCCCGGGATGCGTTTCTTTTCGGGAGCCTCGGTGATCAGCAGCTGAGACCCAAAACATGGGGATTCCAGGGTGATTCTCATCTGATTTTATGGTGATTTAATGGGATTTTATAGGGATTCAATGGGACTTTGCAGTGATTTAATTTATTTAATGGAGTTCATGGGATATGAATAGCAGGATAAATGGAAGTTTGAGTTTGATGCGATATTCATGGGATATATATATATATATATCCCTCCGGTAATCAAACATGGCGTGCTCGAAAATCCTTGATTTATATTGATTTATAGGGAATTTCCAATTGCCATGTTTGATTACCGAAGGGTACTGGCGGGATTGGTTTTGGTGATTAATAGTCATGGTAATGGTTATAATGGTGATATAAACGATTGGTTAACCATGTCAGTTTATATATTTGCGAGATTTTGCGAGCTGCTATGCGTACATCAAATCAGGGACTTGCTGCTAGCTGGAACTTGGCCCAAATCCCGAGCCCGCCTTCTTCTCAGCATCCTGGAGACTCTTCTCCGCTCCCTGTGGGATGTGGCGCATCCATGAAAGTTCGATTTGGGGGTCCCATATGGATCCATATGGTACCATTTCGGAAAGATGTTGAGTTGAAACGAGTTGAAACTTGTATCATCTACACACAGACTGAGACTTAAAAATCCCATGATTTGTCATTGCGGGAGAAACCTTGTGAAAACTCTTTGTTGGGAGTTCCAAAAACACTTGCGGATGATTGGAATACCTGCTGCAATAGACCTGAATAGATTGGTTTTAAGGGAAACCCCAAAATTCACAGGAAACCTGGGCTTTTACCACACGATTCACAAACAAAAGCCTTGCTTGTTCTACATCTTTTCATCCCAAATATGGGGGTTCTAAAAAACGAAAACTTAGATTACCAGAGGGTACCTGAAATCCAGCCACTTTTATTACCCTCTGGTAAACATCACCATAACTATGGAAAATCATGGAAAATCACCATGTCTAATGGGAAAATCCACTATTTCTATGGCCATGTTCAATAGCTATGTTTTTTCCCTACGAAAATTCTGGCACCATGAATGGCCAAGTCGCAGAGTCATGGGTGACGCGCAGTTCACCGCTCACACCAGGGCCGTAGTTCATCTCCGGGTGTTGCAACTCGGCGACGACGCAAAAAGCCACAGCTTTGTTTGTAGATCTGGTTGGTGGTTGACCTACCCCTCTGAAAAATGATGGAGTTCGTCAGTTGGGACTATTGTCCCCAGTATATGGAAAAATGAAAATGTTCCAAACCACCAATCAGATATATATATATATATATACATATAATATATATATATACATATAATATATATATATACTGATTCCCAAATGCTCCATGTATGATAAATTTACCTACATTGGGGTGATGTATGGGACAAATGTTGCTAAATATTCCATACATGGATATACATGGAGCATATGGGATTGTCTAAGAACTGCAAATTTACATGGGATTTAGACAATTCAGCCGAGTAATGATGAATTCGTTTGTAAGATTGTCTAAGATCCAATGGTCTCGAAAATGATCGTCTTTTTTGAACGTGTCATTTTGGGGCATGTGTCCCATCTTTGGACTGACCCATATGGTATGAACTAAAATTTGGGTACCAATTGGGGGACCCACAGTTTGGACATTTTATGCATTGAACTCCAATAATTCACTTGTCATTGTACAACCCTCTAGAGGGGGCCTCCTAGTATTTCCTGTACAAATCGCACGGTTTTGCAGGGGTAAAGTATGGTTAGGCAATATCAAACCATCAGCTACTTTCGGGGTGTACTGATTTCAAGCCATCTCACCATAAAAGTCAATTGGGATGATCGAACAAGACATCTCCAAAACAACAAACTACATCACAAATTTGCGCATCAACATCCATCATGGCTCATCTCTAGGTCACTTAAGTTGAGGACGAAGACTATCCAATTCAATCTGGGCGAATA